TTTATTGATGGAAATGTGGATACAAACAAATATTTGGCAATTTTAGAAGAATCGCTTTTACTAGTGAATGAAGAATGTTTGACATCCGGCCAAGATTTTGTGTTTCAGCAAGGTGGTGCAGCATGCCATACCTCAAAAAAGCCTATAAAATGGATGGAAAAAAATAATGTACCACTTTTGAAATGGTTTCTAGCAGTCCAGATCTGTCATCTATTGAAACTTTGTGGCACGAGATGCAAAAGGTTCTACGACAACATCCTGCTCGCACAATCACCGAACTGAGATAAAAGCTTCAAAAAATATGGGATTGTTTTACACCACATTTTTGCCAAAACTTGGTTAACACTATGCCCCAAAGAGTTTCAGCCGTAATAAAAAATAAAGGTGATGTTACCCAATGGTAATCTGTCAATTGTTGCTTTGTTAACTTCGCGCATTTATTCGCACATTGTTTATTTGTTCAGATGTTCTATTAGTTATAGGTCTAAGTGAATTCAAATATCTGTTTTTTACGACTAGAGTGTATCTAAAATGTTTTTGAGAATATAAATTATTTTAGAAGTAAATAGTTTCATCATATTTCGTTTATTAAAGGCATATTTTGGTACAAATCTTGAAGTGGGCCAACTGATGTGGGAAGGGACTCGAACATACTGTGTTTAAATCTCATTTACAGGCAGCCAAAACAAACACCAACGGCCGACGTTCAAATTCGCACACTCCTATTGGTCAGCAGGCCATAAATCCCTGGACAGGTTGCGACAAGCAAAGAGAAGCTGTGATCGGGTGCTCATGTTTGTTTTGACGCAGTGTAAATGAGATTTGAATAGTATGAAAAGGCGTCAAGTGGGTTGACTCGGAACTTCCCACTCAACACTGTCATCAGTTCATAGAGGATTATGTGTTCAGCGCACGTTAGACCCTATCGAAATAAGACAGCGCAGTAGACCTTATATCCTGGATAGAGGAAAGTTGTTATCGTTGCCCCAGTGACACAGCCTAGACCATGCTGGTCAGTTTAGAAAAAAACACGAAACAGCTGTTCATGGTTGGCTGTCTTTGGTCGGACGGAGGAAAGCACCACGTTCAAGCTAGACCCTCTGAGAAAAAAATGTATCGCTTTTACCAGGGAAATTGATTAAGTCCGTCAAAAAAGTCCATGCTTTTCACCGATATCTAACCACACGACGCGTTAGATGTGTCAGTACTGCCCAGTGCCATTCTTGCCAGAATACCTACGAAGCTGTCTTCTCTATCATTCTAAGGGGAAATGTTCGGGAGAAACTATGATTTTTCTTATACTTGTACCACCACGAAGGCCTAAACACCCGATGGATACCGTGAGGCTATAGGGGGAAAAGGAGAAACGGGGGGACGCCTCATGGATACTAGCGAGGGAACACGTGTACAGGCACATAATCTGGGGGTACTCAAATGTTTTTGTAAAAGATTTAACTTGGACTAGTTAAAAAGATCTATTCTTGGCCCAGAAATGCTATAAGATTTGAAGTTTTGTTGCACGTGGCCGGTAGAGCACTTTTTTCGACATTCCGACATTTTTTATGAAGTAGCTAAATGACACCAGGTAGACAGAGCCGAATTTTTTTTTGTTTTTTTTTTGTACTTTACATATTCATTTTGTACTTGCTAACAACTCTTTTATTTAGAAAAGTTCATTTGCATACAAAAAACAAACCGCCAGAAACCTGATCCATTATTGCCAACGTTGCAGACTAACGCAAAAATCTCACTCGCTGATCAGCTGCTCACCTCAGTAGACGTCAGAGCGTGATGGATACTCGTGAAATAGGGTATAAACAAGCTCGCGAAAATCGCATCTTGATATCTTGCCAAAGCAAATTTTGTACGGAAATGCCTTAAATCTTTACTTTTTTAATAATTCTATTTATCATTCTGGAATTAGTTGGTATTCATCAAAATAAAATCACCCTTTTCGAAAATACTACAAAATATCGCTAAAGGGTAACTAGGTAATGCTAATAACAAAAGGCATATTTTTTGTTTAAACGCATATTCACTATGAGTATATACGAAAAAGACAATTAACAGAAGCAGGCCATGGAATACAACAAAACAAAAAATACCTAATCAATACATAAATAATCCTCAAATTGTCAATAGTTGTCAATTGCTTCGCGTAACTTTGAGGAATTTTTGTGCTTACCAAATGCGCTTCACGAACGATGAAGCTGTTGATATGAGAGTTTTTCCCGATTAGTGACGAGATTACGTTCCAGTGGTAGTTTTCGGCCTACGTTTCAACGGCAAAGAATTCGAAAAAAAAACACAAAATAATATTAACCCGTATATTGAAGGAAATGCCCATGTTAGCAAAGGGCATTATCCCTTTAGCTGGGAATATCACGAACAGCGCTTCAAAATATTTTGAAGGACCATGGATAACTTCTTTTTAATTACTTTTAGAATGCACCCAAATTATGTCGTTTTGCATCAAGCCTTGAAAAAGGAAGACTAATCGGAGGTTGGACTATTGCCATTGGATGTTAGGCATGATTCGCGAAAATGGAGAATTCTTATTTCAAATTCTTTGGACCGACGAAGCCACCTTTAATAGCAACGGGAGAGTTAAATCTTTACAATATGCATTATTGATCTGCAGAGAATCCACATTGGTTGCGTGAAGTTCAGCACCAAGGGCGTTGGAGTTTAAAAATGTGGTGTGGCATACTGGGAGGCAGAAATATTGGGCCATACTTTTCGAGCAATCCGCAATCCCTAAATGGCAATGTCTTTATTGACTTTTTGGACAATCAATTACCGTTGTTGTTGGAAGATGTGCCACTGGAAACACGGTAAAAAACTTGTATATGCGGTTGGATGGTTGCCCAGCACATTTAGCTATTATTGTGCGAGAGCATATTAATGCAGCAATTCAACAGCGGTGGATTGGAAGAGGAAGTCTGTTTCCATGGCCTTCGCGATCACCAGACTTAACATGTCTTAATTTTTATTTATGGGGATAGTTAAAGGTCATCACACTCAACCTACAACCATAGAAGATATTGAAAACTGAATTCGTAATGCAATACGTAACGTACCTAGAGCCCAACTTGAAGCTGCAGTTTTGTCTACCCATGAGTGGCTTCAGGAATGCATGATGATAAGCATGTCGAGCATCTACGGGGACACTAAAAACCTTTCTTTTTCAAAACGGTCCTTTTTAGGGCCACAACTTAATAATGAAAAAAGGTTCCAGAAAATTTAGTTTGGAAAAATAAAAATTTTCTTTGGCCTAAATTTTAGGTTAGGAACAAGATATCGAGATGCGGTTTTCGCAAGCTTGCTTAGACATCATTGGCTACCTTTTCATTAGAATAAATCATAGCAATGCATTTATTCTCTAGAGGTTACATGTGAAACTAACAAAACTTCAAATATTATAAAATTTGTAGCCCAAGAATAGTTCTTTTTAACTAGCCCAAGTTTGTTAAAATTGTCTCAGCCACTCCGAAGATACAGGGTGTTTTTACGGAAACCTTTGAATACCCCACACCACTTTATTTTCAGAGATACAGCAAAAATTGTCAAAAAGTTCAGATTATCCTCGAATTTCAAGATCAGGTACTTTTTTGTCAGGTTAATCTAGCGGGATTCACAGAAACGTCACTTTATTAGATTCAAGTTTATAGTTGTGCCCCCTAGCGGCCATTTAAGAAACTTGAAAATATTTTCTAGGTTTTCTCTTGGCCGTTTGAGTAATAACTGTTTTTGCCGTAAACCTTTACGATAGGTAAATTCCCAGATACAGTACCTCGCATTCTTAGTTGGCCAACCTGTACATTTCGAGCTTTACCTAATATTAGTTATTTCTCAGTTGTTGTCACACACCTATTTTGGATTATCAAGTTTAGTTGTCAACATGACGTAATGAAGCCAGCAGATACAATCTTAAATGACATTATTTAGCTCTAAGTGTTTCTTGTTATCATTTTTTACCTAGGTAAAGATAAGCTATTTCTCGTTAGAGCATTGAGACCAATAATGGCGAAGTCAACATTTTGTTGCAAAAAAATGCATAATTTGGATCATTATGCATATTTTCGAGTAGTCTCCATACAAGTTAATTTTAGATTCCATTAAACATGTTATGCCAAAACCCATTATTGTATTTAACACATTTAAAGAAATTTGGTAAGAGCAGAGGTGGTTTGACCTCCAGGATAGAATTTGTTATTTGGGTATGCTCATAGCAAATACTGAATTTCGAACACCCTGTATATCGCATTTATTTGATTCATTCAATTGGATTAGATTCAAACCGATCCATCAAGAAGTGCAGGGTCGTGTGGGTTGGTACATAATAATTATTTCTTCTCGCAAAGTATGTTAAAAAAAGAACATATACGTTCTTTTATTCGCTACTGTACAAGGTAAAATGAGTTGCAATATCGCGATAAACGTTGCAGTCGTAATCAAATTTGGCAGTATGAACGACATATTTCCATGATGTCGCCATTTGTATTGTAGGTATTTGCTGTGAAGATGTTACGCAAAATGGGTAATTCAGCCATAATGTTTAGCATTCATGTATGTCAAACATAGGATACTGAAATGAGGCCAAAGTTCATTTCAGAAATATATTTTTTGCAGTGAAGTGAGGTCTAGTTTTTTCACTGCCTGTCTTTAGAATGTCACCCTACTTCCATGGGCTCACAAAAGGGCGGCAGGAGGTACGACCCTTAAATTTTCCATATTTAGGATTAGGATACCTCCGCTCTTCAAAAAGTTTGCTCTTTCAAAAAATTCAGGAGATTCCTGCTAATGATCTCCCACCCCCCATCAAAAGCCGAGTAGCCCTTTCAGGGTTGTAGGGCCTCAATGATTAGCGAACAGACAGACTGGCAGAGAGACAGGCATGATTTTTTGTTATGAGCATGTCATGTAACATCCAAAACGGAAGATCGAATCCTTATCCAAGAATTGTTTGTCAAAAAAGCAATTTTGATTGTCACACTTACCTGCCCTTTTTCATTGAGACAAATTGAGGAACAGCCCTGAGGCTTTGCTTCACATTCTTTTCTGCAAGGGTAGGCGATTATATTGTCCATATGCAGAAGAAAAAGCTGTAAATATATTATCAAACAAAAAATTAAAAAAAAGCATTTGATAAATGTTTGGTTCAATCATCACTTTTTTGAATTTCACTTTAGGTAAAAAGACAGACGCACAAAAAATCAAAATCCAATCCAGAAGTCCACATCAATCATTTGGAAGCGTTATTTGGAAAGTTTTCTTGTAAATCTTGCTGAAAAAGTTACCTTATGGAATGGAACTTGAGCCCCGTCAGCAATACCTTCAAGCTCTCTAATGTACTGAGGAAAATTGGACTTGACACAATTCAAAGTATCTTCGTAAGCTTTTCGGCCCTCGGAAGTTTCGTAGCATGGCAGATAACAATGGTTGAGGGAAGTACTGATCTTCAAGAAGTTGTGGATCATGCCTGAGAACGTTTTGCCCTGTAAAAAATTATAAGAATTTTAAATATACCATATCAGTACCGTCACCGCTGACGGATTTTTTACAAACTCCTGTTTCCCCGACGAAAAAACAGGGAAGCTAACATGTGTATTTTTCCATCTGTGTGTTTATGTGTTTGTGACAATAGATGAACCGATTCGATTGTGTTTTTTTTTCTCGGTGGTTCTACGCATGTATCAAGCATATTTCTCACATGATAAATTTCCCCGTACATTTTTCCTTGAAATAGAATTACAGAGAAATGTTTTCGATAGGCGTGACTGCTTCTGCTATCTGGGATCATCGGCGAGCGTACCGGTCTTGGTAAGTGTTCTGGCCTTACTGCCGCGTCTGACACGTTGTACCGTCAGGTATCGGGAAAAGGCGACATTGCCAGATGGACTACTGGTGGGCAGGAAAGAATGTCTATTGACTAATTGTGTAGACCTGACTTGATCCAATGAATTTCTCTCTTATTCGTAATTAACTCTCTTTTCAGAACGTCTATCTTGTGCTGGACACAAAATCCTTTATGAACTGATGACGGCATTGCGTGGGAAGTGCACAGTCAGTCTAGACGCCATTTATTTTTGGGATGCGTCGAGTACTCGATTTGTACCAGGTAGTCAACATACTTCGTCCATTTTACCGAGTACCCGGTTTTGCCGAGTATTAAATTCCTCGTCCGGGAAATTACTCGATCTAAGCGCAAGACACGAAACTTGTATAAATCAAAGAGTCAGTAGATGCGATGTGCAAAGTCTGAGTAAAATGGAAATATCGACAGAATCCGGGAATGTCCTTTCCAAACCTTGATATATTCTCCAACTAACCAACGCATCATAAAAGTACTGGGAGCCAAGGTTACATCAAATTTTGCCTAATCAGGGAACTGTTTTGGATTATTCTTTTAGTAAATGTCAACCATCGTCTCCAGTAAACTAGTGTATTCACGATATTTGCGTAGCTTATTTTTTATGCACAAGGTGTTACTACTATAAGTTTTTTTCATAAAAAATATGGAGTCTATGTAGCAGGTACCATAGTAGTTCAGTCTGAGATCGCATTGTTGTGTTGCCTTTTTGGATTATTTATTTGCTGTTCTATCTTCCATTTGAACACTCATAAAACAACAAAAACCACAAATGGAATAAATTAAATAATATGCAGCAACATTCTAGTCTTTGAAAAGAAAACATTTGCTAATACGTAAGGATAATTTAGGTTTAGTCCTTCCAAAATCTGATTACTCCGGCCATGAACTTGTGGCCTAAAGGCAGCTCAGATTCCTAAAAGGTTCAAATTCAGCCTTCCTGATGGCCTTGACATGCCATTGATTCTGTTAGGTGATTTTTCGAAATATAAATAGTTTGGAGCCTCGCGTAGCTAACCTTCAGTAAAATGTAGGTTTTAGATACCGAGTACTCGTATACCTACATATACATTTTGAATGTCTTACATATGCTTCATTTGTCAAGATGTGGTTTCAACTTCAACTTGATACTGCAGCTACTGAATTCCACATTGAAAAAAAATATTCCTAGCCGCTGCAAGACTCTCAAACATTAAAAAAAATCTGAAAATTCCGTTATTACACACGTGACGCTCCTCTCTCAAAAAGTTGTTTAAGCTGCAAAACTGTTTTTTTCTTTTTGAAGCGCTTTATTTTTCTGTCAATATAAATCAATTTTGAGAATAAAGGGACCTTTCAAAGATACGAACATAATCTTAATATCACTGAAAGTAGCTGAAATAACCCAGAACCCATCACTGCACCGAGTTCCTATCCGGAAACGGTACTCGGCTTTATGAAAAATCCCCATGATTTTACACAAAGAATATGCCTGATTAGGGCAACAGATGGAAGGGCTTAATATGTAGATTTGTAACTTGGTTTTTTGATGAAAATCAGTCTCAGGTTGTACAAACGTTTTTCTATATGATTTTTAACTCTCGAGGCAAAAACTCACAAACGAATGAACCGATTTGAGTGCGTTTTTTCTGTATCGAGGTAGGCATTTAATGCAGCTTTGCTGATAAATATCAACACTAGCTCGTCTGTTATGGTTGTATCTTTATAAGCTACATTACACACATTAGACAGCGTCAAGAGTAGAATTTGTGTATATTATGAATATAGGTGTATATCAGCCCCCAAAAATTTTGAAGAGCGAGTCGTAAATTTTCTACGAGGGGGGGACAACTGAAAGCTTAAATATATACTAAGTGTATTAATGAATTTATTGACAACAATTTTTTGTATACATATCTCTTAGGGTTAGATAAGTAAGTGATCAAAATTTCAGAAAAATGAGACCGCTAAGAAAAATATAAAAAATCAATAATTTGTTGGCATAACTCTGAAACACGTCTGGGCATACTCCTAATCGTATGATCGATTTCCTCTTGTGGTATATCCCAGGCCACATGTACCTCGTGCTGAAGTGCCTTTGGGCTTGTGGGGGATGGGGTAAATGGAGTAATATTTTTTCCATAATGTCCCAAACGTGCTCAATGGGTGAAATATCGCGAGATTTAGGGACCAATGCAGCAAATCGACTTGACCATCTTCAAAATAGAAAATAGACAAATTCTATATGTATTTGCGGATTCTCTTGTTGGTTGTGGTTCTCTCACCTCCTGGACGCAACGCACGGTGGTCATGTTGTCTCTGATGAATATCAAAGGTGACCTCTGCTTCTGTAAGCAATAGCCCCAGATACCATAATTAAAACAGTGGCTATTATCCATTCCCATACCTACAGAAACTGGATTCACCACTGAAGTCAATGGTATTCCATTCGAGGTTCCAGTTCAAGCGTTCTCTACACCAAGCCAGTCGATCACTTCGGTGCCTAGCAGTGAAAGGTAGGACAAACTGAGGTCAGTATGAAGCAAGTCCAAAAGTCCTGTTGATCTGGCGATAAACCATTTGCACTGTGATAGGCTTTTCATGCTCTACAAACCATTGGTCTGTAACTGACCTTGTGGACGAGAAGCGGTCCCGTAGTGCCAAAATCTTAAAACGACGATCTTGGGGCGGGGCCCTTCTTGTAATACGCCCTGTGCCTATAAATATTCGTGTACGGCCTACCTAATATTATGTCCGACAACAAATCACCACCGTATTTAAACTTCTGTGCCCCATGGTGGCTAATTCGCTGAAGCTCACACAAGCCCACTATCCGTCCATATAAAACTCGCTACGCGGCAGAAAATTCTGGTCTTCCGACTGTAGAAATAATGAACAGATTAAAGCAGATCTTCACAACAAATTGTACTCGTAGCTTTAGAACACAACTATCGCTTACTTCTTTTGTGAGAACAGACGGTATCACAAAAACCACTTCCTTGATTTAGTTGAAAAGCTGATCGTTTTTTGTCCTAGCCTCGACAAACATATACCTAGAAAATCGTTAATGTACCCAATATAAATTTAGTCTTTGTTAAAAATCATATATTATTAATTTTTTAAAGTTAATGCCGCATATACATCTAGGTAATTATCGTTTAATGTGAACGCAATGTGACAAGCCCTATCAAACTCACTAAGCTGTTGAAAATGTTCTTGATTTCCCACTTTAGTCATAATGAACATATCAAAGCAGCTCTTCACAAAGGATTGTACTATGATCAAATGCCAATTGTAGCTACAAAACACAACTATCACCTACTTGTTTTTTTTTTTTAAGAACAAACTATATCACAAAAACATATACCTAGAAGATCTTTGTAATACATTCATTATTACTTGATGTTCTTTTTTCTATGTCACTTAGTATAGTACACAATACTATGTTAAATATGCAAGTTTTATGGGGCTTCAAATTCTGAGGGGGGCCACGGACCATAGTCCCCGGCCATGATGGCGCACATTTATCTTCATTAGAATATTATTGCCCAAATATCATATTATGACTGAAAACCACGATTTATATATTTTTTCGCTAACGTATCTCGCTATTTTACAAGATGGATCAATATTTCGTGAATGTACACAAAACTTTTATGGATCAATAGCCCCTAATACTGCAGCGGCCTACAAACTATAAAATAATGACCGACCTACTGCTTACATGGCTTCAAATTAAGATAGATAAACAACACATATTCATTTACATCACTAATACGTAGATATTTTTGAAAGTTCTGTAGAACGCCACTGAAACTCATTTCCATCGGTTTGTTAGTCTGTCCGTCCGCTAATCCTTGCCCCAATAACTTGGGAAGTACTGGACGGATTTTGATGAAAGTTTCATACAAGGTTACTGTGCCAAGCACGAAAAAGCTATGTAGTTTTTGAAAATCGGTCTAGCGGTGGCGGAGCTTGGAGCAAAATACGAATAAAGTTGGGTGCTGAAGTGTCCAATAATCTGTGACCCCGTTAGTATTACCCACCACTTAAACACAATGTTACACATTTCGCAAAATATTAACGTCTGTGACTCCAGCAATACCAGGAACACGTGACATCTTCTACCTGCGAGGGGTCCGACCCTAATTCAGCAACGTTCACAGTGCCCCAGCCACAGCGTATCAAGGTCATTAACGAGGCGTGACGATGTAAATATACCAGGGTGTACGAAAGATGCCTAGACATTATGCACCATGTATAGCCAGAGCCGATTATTTAAAAAAATTAACCACATAATTATATTCATCCTATAGCATCACCTGTGTGTGTATAGTATTTTTAATACATCACATACGAGTAGATTTTTCAATAAACCAAAAATTAAAATGAGCTGGCTAAAACATAAAAATTAAGTTTTGGCATTATTCTTTCGCAATGAGATACTAGAGAAAATCCTAAAATAGACATCAATAAGTCAGAAATGAAGATTGATTCTTCAAAATTTCAATTTTATATCAACAGTAACCAGCTTCGCCTACGCCAATATCACGCCTAATATTTCTTCATGCAGTTTTATGAGCACAACATTGTATTGGAAAAATATGTTTTGAGGTCACAATATAGATATGCACAATCTTATCAGGA